TTTAGCAAATTTTATGAGCTCGGAAAGTCCTCCTCCTCTCCAGCCCACTGCGTATTCATTTACTTTCAACAGTCTTAGTTTACAGTCTATTCTATCACTGACAAAATCTTCCATTGCTTTAACTAATGCTGATTCGCCTGGCCAAAAAACTGCCGGCGATATGAGAAAAACGTGTTTTCTTTGACGTCGTCCTGATCACCCGTTGTTTTGAAGATCTTCGTTTCGATACTGCAGCTTACAAACATAATCAAATCACGGAAGTTGCACAACTTGGTGTTTTTGTGTCGGTAATTCTGGCATCAATTCCCCCACCTTTTACGCGTTTTTGCATATATGCAATAACAAAAAGCATATTATGACGACTCATGGTGTGTGTGTATGTGTGTGTGTGTGTGTGTGTGTGTGTGTCTTTTTGGGCACTTCAGCTTGTTAAGTTTTTGCCAATGAATTCATCCAACCAAGCTTCACTCCAGGAAAATAGTTCAACATGACGAGAAAATTGCTAATGAGGGAATTAGAAAAGCTGGAAACCTGAAATTTTGAGAGGATGTTCTCTGTTCTTTTGCGGATTAATGACTTAAAATTCAATTCCTGGATGCAAGTGGCTCTCACGAGCGGGAACGAGAAATTTTTGACGAAGAAATTGCAAATTCGGGAACTAGAACAGCTAGGTCACTTTCAAAGACTTGTCTCCGGAATTACTCATTTTCTTTTACGCAGTGCTAATGAATGTATAAGTTATGTGTAAAGGAACGACCATTCATACGGTTAACGACTTGGCTACCTCTAGTTTAATGCGAAGACGCATGGCCGCACGGGGGAAAAACAGCTAAAACTTGACCTGAGATTGGTGTATGGTTATGTCCGGCAGTTTTATTATACGTCTAATTATGCGGCTTACAAAAAATTTCAGAATCTATTTCAGAAAAATGGAAAAGTTTCTTGCACTTTTCTTGTTAAGCTTGTATGTGACAGCAGCACCACAGGTAATTCGTTTATATTTTTATTTCGAAATGAGCAAAGGTTTTTGTGAATTTAATGTTATACCTTAAGAGCAACGGAAACTGAATCTAGTAGCACAAAAGATCTTAAGATCTTTTTGTATGAGCAAAAACTTTGCACTTGCGAAGATAACGTGCATTAGGGGGTTATACCAGTGATAGGTCGCGTTTTAGCAGCCTGTTATTGTCTTTGTTCACTGCACGAGCAAAGGCTATTTTCCTCGAATTTCGGCTTTCTAGCACGTTTGTTAATGAAGTAGCTTGAGGGAACGTACAAGGTGGGTTTCAGGGCGTAAAAAATAGTAATGCAACTAAAGTTGGGAAAAGTATGTAAAGGTTTTAGAAAACTTAGATCAACTTTCAGCTCGTAGTCTAGACGATTAGCTTTGCGGCTGTCTACTTTTGCGTTGACAAGAGCTGTTTCGTCTGGTGTCAGATGACCGTTTATTTCGTCTCCTGAATGGAATATTAGCTCAATGTTTTTCAAATCTGGTCCGTATAGGCGAAGTAGGGAAGCGGAAAGAGCCAATAATACATACTTTAAAAATGCACATATGTAATAACTACAATTTTTGTAGGAATTATACGATTCCGATTCATCAGCAAATTTTCCACAGAATGTTACTCCCTCAACAGAGCAAGCGACAACTGAGGAAATTCCGCAGCAGGGAGCATTCGCAAATGTTGCCGGCTTGCACCCTGAAGAAGAGGGACGTCCGTTCAGTGTGATCATTCATCTCCCGGACAATACCACCATTCAGACCTGGGGAACAAGCTTATTTTTCGCCGAACGACGTTACGAACTAATGAGTGCTGAAGCCTGCGGTATTCGGCCGACGGATCCTGGATTCGAAATACAGCATTTCTATGGGGAGATACGAATGCGGAACAGATCCCCCGTTTATATTATTAAATTTTCCCTTTATTTTCGAGATCGTAGTACCGGCCAATTCTTAACAGTTAGTGAAGTTGACGTGTACAGTCTGATAGGCTTCATTGAAATTTATCTTCTGGCCTTCGATGATGGTGAGATTGAGGAAAACAATGCTGGGTGGTGGCTATCCG